TAGATAAAAAGTTAAGTGTGACAAAAATTTAGCACAGACCAAAATAAAAATATAACACTTTGAATGAGACAAAATAAATTGGAGATTTTAACCATAGTTATTATTATGATGACCCCAAAACCTCAGGGCCAATTCCAAATCCAATGAGAGGCCCAAAACTGTACCAAATGCTATTTGTTGTCCATTGCTTTTACCCCCATTCGAGTTTTGCAGTATTACAATACAAGCATTTTGTTTTGGGGTATTCTCACAATTAGGCATTAATGCCTAGAATGTAAGTGAAAATTATATGAACCCTGCAGTCAAAAGAAAAATTTAGCTGCTACTTTCTTGCTCTGTGCCATCAAAGAATTCATATGAAGTACTACAGCTCATTGCTTTTCTTGTCCAATCCAATGGTTTAATCGACTTGAAGGAAATGCACTTCCTAAACCTCCAAATTCTTTTTATTACACAGAAATCTTCTTTCATTTTTTTCCCTTTTTTTCCCTGAATAATCAAAACATGGTGATACCTAGAGTTCTCTATTCTGCCCCGATGATAGTGCGTAACACATATGTGAATCTTCTTTCTGTTTATAGTAAATTTGTTGGTAAAGCATTACAGGATTATCACCGGTGGTCAATATGCTAAATATGGAAATTCTACTTCATTCTATACTAACCGCTATATCTTTCTTTCTTTTCTTAGCTTTCGTCAAATTTCTTGAGAAACTATGGTGGAATCCAATTCGCAAACAGAGTATCTCATGCAGTCACAGGGCACTGGATGCCCGTCTTACAAATTCATCCATGGAAATGCCAAAGAAATATCTCAGGTAAGGGAGAGGTCCATAAGCCAAAAAAATGGAATTGTCCCACCAGATGTTTCCAGGATTTCAGAGCCTCACATCTATTCCTGGATCAACGTATATGGCAAGAGCAATCAGCCTCTGGCATTTATTGTGCTGCATTTGTTAAGAAATTCCTTTGTTCAGTTTTCTTCTTGCAGTTCCGTTGACAGGAAGGAACTTTCTTCGTTGGCGAGGTCATAAAGCAGGATTAGTTATAACAGATCAAACAAATGTTGAACAAAAAGGATGTTTCATTTTCGAGGTTTGAATCTGAAAAGTATCTCCAAAAAAAAAAAAAAAGGGTAACAGGCGATGGAAGGGTTGTTAGACCCGGACCGGACAGGCTGGTTCGACCGTGAACCGACCTTCTTTCCGAACTGGTTTGTACTATAAAACAGTTTTGGTCAAAAATCAGTCAAAACCATCAAAAACCGACTAAATTAGTTATCCGATTCGACTGATTGACCCAGTTCTCAAATTTTTCTTTCTTCTTTTTTCCAAACATAATTTGAATTACTTAAATTGTAACACTTTCATTTATTAATAGGAAAACATCACCCATTTAGCTGGTAAATATCAAAATCACTCAATTTCTTAAATGATCTCTAAATCAAGATGTTTTCATCCATATGATCTCATTAATTTAGCATCACTGACTCCAACTTGCATTAATTTGTTTTAATTTAGTTTGTAAAGTAGTTTTGGAGAATGGATATATTTTAACCGCGAATTTACATTTTTATATATAATTATTAGGTGTATATTTGATTGCAAGTCTAATATTTTTGGAACATTTTTCACGATTGATCAAATATAACCAAGAACTTATTTTTAATATTTCTGAAACTTACAAAAATATTATAACATCATGTTGATGTCAACGGGTTCTTGAAAACGGTCCGGCCAATTGACCCCTAACCCAATAATTTAGTCGAGGCGCTATCCGATCCGAGTTTAACAACATTGGAACTTTCTCCGTGCCCAAAGTTCGAAAGTAAGCTCTGCCACAACCAGATGTAGATCAAGTAACTATCACTACTATTTCGGATTTTAAGGAGATTTCTACAAATTTTCATTTTGAATAGTTGCTTCAATATAAAATAATTTGTGCCACCCACAGATCCTGATTCCTCTGCAATGGTTGAAAGAACTGAGATGATGCTTAGAAAGTACAAAAGCAATGATGGCAAGGAAATAGAAGTTTGTGAGGAGTTCAGGATGTTAAGTTCAGAAGTCATCTCAGGGACTGCATTTGGGAGTAGCTATGAGGAAGGGCAGCAACTCTTCCAAATGTCGAGGCAGTTGACATTTATATGTGGCAGAAATATGGAAAAAATTAGGTTCCCTGACATCAGGTATGTGTTCTCTTGATTCTGTTGTTCCTTTGATCATGGATCAATCAGTGTAGTACTAATAATCGATGGTTGATACAGTTATTTAATGGGATCAACAAATCTTGTTTACAAAAGCCTTGAACGTCAAAAATTGTTGCTTGGGCTCGATGCTGAATAGTATTTAGTTGCTATCTGATCATTCACCATTTGGAAAAGTAGGAATGATAAAGAATCAGATGAGCTTGAGAAAGGAATTCGAGACTACATTATTCAAATTGTGGAGAAAAGAGAAAAGGTAAAAGCAAGAAAAAGCACAGCTCCAAGTCTCCGACTTTCTTGGGCTATTGTTAGAGGCTCATCATGATGCTGAAGTTCACGAGTCTAAGAGAATCTTAGCAGAAGAAATAATTGATGAATGCAAAACATTTTACAGTGCTGGACAAGGGACAACAACAATTTTGCTTTCATGGAGCATTTTCCTTCTAGCAATGCATAAGAACTGGCAAGACAAAGTGCGAGAGGAGGTGAACGAGTTAAGATGAACTCCAAATTCAGTGGGAATTTAAAGACTAAAGTGGTAGGCAAATCATAAACGCATCAGTTGTCTGCAGGTTCATAACAAACCATATAGGTGCTGCACTAAATAGCTGAAATCCTCTCTTTGTCTCTGTTTTGCACTTCTGATACAGATGAGCATGATCATTGACGAGTCTTTAAGATAGGAAGGAAGGCCAAGAAGCGAGCCAGATTAGGGAATCTCATCTTTCCCTTTAATATGGAGATGAACGTCGCCTTCTTAGCAGTTCATCATGATCCCACCATATGAGGGGAAGATGCACTTGTTTCAAACCGGAAAGATTCTCACAAGGGGTTGCTACTTGCTAGAGCTACAAACAACAATCTTGCCCCTTTCAGCTTGGGACATAGAACATGTGTTGGCCTAAATTTTGCAGTCACTGAAGCAAAGATCGCACTTCCCGTGATTTGGCAACGTTTTGCCTTCACACTTTCTCCTAACTATGTTCACTCACCAACTCAAATTATGAGCCTTCGTCCCCAAAATGGTGGTCAAGTAATGCTTCCTTCATGCACTGAAATCTTTACAAAACGGGGACTGTCAATTTGGTCTGAACATTAAAGTTTCTTTCTTGTCGGGGTTCAAGATTGAGACAAGCAGCATTGCCTTTTTTTTTCTGTACAATATCTGTAATTTCCTATAAATGATCAATGAAACAATTGCATCAGAATTTTCATAGGCAGTCCTTTGTATCCGGAGTGAGCTAGAAAGCAAAAATTGCATGGCTAACTAGAAAAATTCGTTTTCTTGGCTGGTACTAAAGATTTAACTAAACAGCATATTGTTGCACTAAGAGCCATCATATCTTGGTCCTTATTTTTGTGGCAAAAAGAACTTAACATATATACTGGAATATTAACAAATCTTTGTCGTACTTAGTTGGAAAAATTATTCTAGAAGCATTGTGCCATGTAGTAGTCAGTTTTAATTATCCCTCTAGAATCAATTATTGGTTGAATTTTCACTCTCATTTGTTGTCTTTGTCACATGAAGCTGATTCATTTATGCGTCTGCTGATTCATTACTGTGAATGTCTTCGTCAAACTTTTTAACGTTTCTGCAGTTCTAGATAGATAGGTAATCTCAAAGAGATGTACAATAATGGCTCCATTATCTATCACTCTTGGCGAATTTGTTGATCGGTGGAAAAGCCAATGCTTCCAAGTGGTGTTTGACACCGACAGCAAGATCGCAATGGACAACAACCAGTCCTCCTGCCGTGGAGAAGTGAAGTTTTATGTCGATCCAACTGACTGCTGGTCATGGTAGTAGCTGGTCCATGATCAATGAGAAAATTTTATGTCAATATATATATAAAGGCCTTTCTAATTCATGTACCAAGTGATGTCGTGAAAATAAACGGTGAGAGTGTAAATAACGTTTTTCTATATATTGATATAAACATATGGATACTCTTGATACAAAATGGATCCAAATATACAAATTGTATAAGTTGCAATAGCAATTCTACCAATGTCTCTCTTCCATTTTCTGTAAATCCTTGATTAGAGCTCCTAATTCAAAACTTCCGTCAAATGCAAGTAATCCTAAAATTATGGACATTTAAAGTTTAAACTGTTAAACTAAAGGGATAGACAAAAATTGTCTGCTCTTTAATCTGACAGTTACAATATCCGCTAAGGGCAGGGGACCAAAATGGTTCTCTTCCTTTTATTCTTTTGGTTCTTCTATACTCCTCGCTAAGGGCAGGGGATAAGGTGAGCATTGTATATTCTTGTCAGAGAATAGTTAAGAAATGGTAATGCGGAAGTGAACACAATTGAGGGGTGGATTATAACTCATAAGATCAAAGTATTATGGCAGTTCCTAACTTCTTATTTTTGTGTATTTTTTTCCTATGCCCAACGGGAACAGAACCAAAAAAAAGGTTTTTTTCCCCCTTTTTTATGCTTTGGAACTGGTTGGTGAAATCAAATGACCAGCCCACCTAAAAACAACAAAAGAGCAGCTTATGGTTTAAACGTCAACTGCCATGTCATTGTGGGTAATTACTAACGTGGATAATCTAACTCCACTTTCTTTGAATCATCAGCCCACCACAAAGGACTAATGGCTATATGTTATTACTTCTTGTTGACTAGACCGCTAACCCATTCAACCAAGATTATACATCACCAGCATTTGCCAATCAAGAAAGTAGAGGTCAAGCGCTGGTGTGCTTCATTATCATGATTGTTTAACTGCTAATTTATTGACCAATTGACTTTGGCCCAACAATGGATAAATTCAACGGCAGCGGGACGCTTAGTATAAAAGCCTGGAGCAAGGAGAATGACATCAGTTTTGAGTGCATTGATTAGTTGAATAAGCAATTGGAGGGGGTTATTGACTTTGGCATGAATAAAAAGCTGGTAGAACTAAAACATGAAGAACTGGTTCTCCATGGCGGAAACCTTGAGAATTTTTGTTGCAAGTATTCTGTTTTGCTTGCTGGTAGCTTTGATTAATTTTCTTCACAAAGTATGGTGGATGCCAAGGCGGATTCAGCATGTATTTTTTTCACAAGGCATCAAAGGCCCTCCTCCCAGATTCCTTCATGGCAATACCATAGAAATCTCTGAGATGAGGCAGAATTTCATGAACAGAAAGGTGCAGTTATCACATGACATCTTCCGAACTCTCCAGCCACACATCTACTTGTGGACTAAAATATATGGTACTACATGTCGTCTTCTCTTACTTCCATCTTTCAAGAATAGAAATATATGTTTTTCTGGATGGAATTTTCTTCAAAACCCTCGAATTTTTTTTACATGCGCGGTGTTGTTTTTTTTTGGGTTAGGAAAGAATTTTCTGCACTGGCCTGGTGCTAGAGCTGAATTGGTTGTATCAGAGCCAGAGCTTATAAAGGAACTGCTGTATGACAACGAACAGTCTTTCTGCAGATCAGATGTCGATAGACATTTGAAAAAGATACTAGGAAAAGGGATTTTGACATCTGATGGCGAAAAATGGTTGAAATTGCGGAAGCTGTCGAGTCAAGCCTTTCATGCTGAAAGCTTAAGAGTAAGAGCATGTAATCTTCAGTATATAGGACTTGACATTTAGCTTTTCTGTATCAACCTTCTTGATGGTCCGAGAGTTACAATTATTTGTTGTTACAGCATATGATTCCAGCAATGATTGAAAGCGTTGAGCTGATGCTTGGAAGATGGAAGAATTATGAGGGGATGGAGATAGATGCCAGTGAAGAATTCAGGGTGTTGACTGCTGAAGTTATCTCTAGGACAGCATGTGGGAGCAGCTATTTAGAAGGCCAAGATATCTTTCAGATGTTGAGGAAGTTGGTGGTCTTATCTAGCAAAAATTCCTACAAAACTAAGCTTCCAATCATCAGGTGACTTTCAAACGTTAATGTACGAACAATGTCCTGTTTTGGTATCAGTAACTTAATAGACTTGATTGTATGATGGGGCGATAGGTTATTGACTAAGGCCCAGAGTCTAACTGAATTTTTCGACCTTCGATTCTTCTTCTGGCAGTAGCGTCTTCAAAGATAGATATGATCTGGAAGCAGATAAACTAGAGAAAAGGGCTCGAGATTCTGTTTTAGAGATGGTGAAGAAAAGACAGAAAGAGATCAGCTCTAGAGAAGATTTTCTGGGATTACACTTAAAAGCTCATTCTGCTTCCGATAGGAACAGTAAAATTACAGTGCAAGAAATAATTGATCAATGCAAGACCTTTTACAGCGCTGGACAAACCACAGCATCTATATTGCTTTCATGGACCATTCTTCTTCTAGCAATTCACACCGATTGGCAAGAAAAAGCCCGGGAGGAGGTATTCGAATTGTTTGGTCAGCAACCTCCAAATCCAGAAGGGATTTCAAGATTGAAAACGGTAAGCAAATTACTACTACTACAAGAACAAGGTATACTGATCAAATAGTACTTTTTCTTTTTTTCGTCAGAATTACAAATTGCTAAGCAGGTTATTGGACTAACTGCAGTTTGCACCCTAAAGCTAAACAGTTTCAGCCATTTCTACTTGTTTAAGGCTTGAATTTCTGCATTGGATGCAATTCCAAATGGAATATCCTCCATAGTTTTAGCTAAAACTGATGAGGGATCCTTCTCTAATTTCTGCTTTCCACTTGTGGTACAGATGAGCATGATCATTAATGAGTCTTTAAGACTATATCCTCCCTCAGTTTACATACAAAGAAAAGCTAAGAAGGGAGCAAAATTAGGGAAGCTCATTCTGCCTACAAATACAAATGTACATGTTCCAATCCTAGCAATTCATCATGACCCCAAACTATGGGGCAAAGACGCACATATTTTCAATCCAGAAAGATTCTTGAGTGGGGTTGCTGCAGCAACCAAGAACAATCCAGCAGCATTTCTGCCGTTTAGTCTGGGACCTCGAACTTGTGTTGGAGCAAATTTTGCAACTCTTGAAGCCAAGATCTCACTGTCAATGATTTTGCAACGCTACACCTTTACACTCTCCCCAAACTATGTTCACTCACCAGTACAAATCTTATCCCTTCGACCCCAGCATGGAGTTCAAGTAGTGATTCGTCCTCGGTAATATGTATACAAGGTTCCAAATACCAATCATAAAGTTTAGACATTGTTGATAAAATATCGAGGTCGGGTAGGTCACTAACTCTGTAAAATATGCTAAGGTATTATGTGTCTCATTGATTTTCACATGATCTGATTTATAGTTTAGTAGCACAATAAGAGTTTTGAGGGGGGAAAAAAAATCTTTCTAGATGTTATACCCAATTATTACTTGGTTGGACATATTTTTAGAGCAACACTAGATCTATTCGTGTATGCTGACAAGAAGTCGAACCTAATTGAGTTTTGACTTGGAACCCGATTTGTTTTTTTTTTGGCACCTCTAGCCTTAGATTACTGAACATAAACCAAAGATGATAACAAATGTGAAGTTTTTTGCAAATTCCTCCAAGCCAGGACAGAGAAGCAAATCAATGGAGATGACCAATAGTTTCTGTATTTGCACCCTGAACAAGAAAGAAGATTTATTATTACAACTCTCTTGGACTTGGCCTTTAAGAAAGATGCTGTTTAATGATGCATAAGATGTTCTAAAGAAAAAATTAAAGCAATAATCCAGAGTCAACTTGAAACTACCACAAATGTTTATTCATTTTCCGCTGTGCAAAGATGACCAATTACTACTGAACAATAACATGAAACAGAGCATCAATGAATCAGCTTAAGTACCACTGATACTGTTAATAATAAAGGTCTTTCTAGCTACTCCACAAGATAAGTAGGTTTCACTAATCAAATTCTTTGAAAAATGTCATAAATAATCCGCTGAAAAGGCACTGATTATACCTGGTAGTCTCCGAATAAAAAGTAAAATAGTAAACAAAAACACTAAAGACAAGAATTAGTAGTTAGTGGTAGTTCTGTAGTATCACTCCTGTTTAGTTTTTTTTTTTTTTTTTTCCGGTAACATAACAATTGTATAACCTATTCTATCCTAATTTACAGGGAAGGGGAACCTAAGAAAGCTTGTGTATTGGACTAATAGGTATGGCAGATCTGACTAAACCAAGAGGATGTTATGACATTACCCTTAAATTTTTTTTTTATTACAGGTGGAGTTTGAAGTAGGCCTGTCAATCGGGCCTAATGAGCCGGGCTTTGATGAGTTCAAGCTCAGCTCATTTAATTTGAAACATTTTCGGGCTTCGGGCTATGAGCTTCGATTCGTAAATGTGATGCTCATACTCAGCTCACATAATATTCGGGTTGTGAGCCTTAATCGGGCTTAGCCCAAGCTCACTTATTACTCCTTAATTTTCTTAATATAATTACTATAACTATTAAAGTTGTAAAACTAAGTTAACATTTACAAGACTATAATATTAAAAACTAAACATGAACAAACAATAGTTCTTTAAAAAGTATATAAACCAAAAATTTTTTCAACAAATATTTATATTTAATCCATTTAAAAATGCATGAAAAATAGTAATAAAACATGCGATCATAAGCCAATACATCTTTAAAAGTTGAAACTTTTTTTATAATCTTGTGATTTAAAATCCAAATATGCTTGATGATTTTGTGTGTTTGTAGACCAAAAAAAAATCAACCAATAATATCCAATACAAATTTACTCAACCAATAAGAAAAAATTAGAGATTTAGTTATGCATTACTATATTGGCTCTCAAGAAATCTCATGAAAGAATCTTTAGATGTATTTTTGTTTTGTAATTTATATATATATTTAGTATTTAGTAAAAATATATTTGGATATATAAATATACATAATATCAAAATATAAATATTATATATATAGGTAATTAAAGGGCCGGACCTTATCGGGTTTGAGCCTAATAAGGCCCAAGCTCAGCTCACATTTAATTCGGGCCTAAATTTTTAGGTTCAAGCTCAGACCAGCTCACTAAATGATCGGGCTCATCGGCTTTCTGTCGGGCCGAACGAGCGAGCTCGGGCTGGCCCAGCCCCATTGACAGTCCTAGTTTGAAGTTTGAACCTCCACCTACAGATCAAGGAGAACTCAAGACCCTCCTCTGGTGCCACTGCACTTGACTCAGTGGTTACTCCTGTTTAGTACGACGTGCAATCATTAGATAGAAGGAACATTGGGATGGAGGGGACAACTGAGGAATGAACCACAAGTTTACAAACAATAATCATATGCCTTCCACGTAATGCTTGAACCTTCCTCGTCTGTTTGGTTTAGTTTGGATTCCCATCTTAAACAAATTTTTCTAACTAAAAAGCCAATGAAATGTTGGCATTCGTAATTAAGTCTTGAAAATGCAGAATATTTTACATTTGTTCTTTTTTGTTTCTGCAAATGTTCCAACTCTTAAGTAGCAGACTCATGCGGCACTGCATTTTTCTTTTATTTTGAAAATGTCTTAAATGGAAGCGAAGGTTTATCTCCTCCACAACACATGTATAAATAGTGCCCTAAAAGCCAAAATATTAGTACCTCCCAGCTGGACATCGCTGGCTACAAGCTAGTATGGTCCATGATGTCCACTGAGAGAACCTTAGAAGTCATTTTCTTAAGCTGTTTGTTTTCGTACCTGTTTTCGCTTGTTATCAAGTATTTTCACAAGCCATGGTGGACTCCAAGGAGAGTGTGTTATGCTCTCACAGGGCATAAAGGGACCTCCTTACAGATTCATTCACGGCAACACCAAAGAGATTTCCAAGATGAGGGAGCATTTTCAACGAAGGACCCTTGGCATATCACACCACATACTTCCCATATATATTCATGGACTCAGATATATGGTAAATATTAGTTGCACTCTTGTAGTCTTACCATTAGCACAGTAGTATCTTTTAATTTATCCTTTGCCGGAGTATTTTTGCAGAGTTTCTATTGAAAAATATATCATACCGATTTGATGTATGTAAAGTATAAAGATGATTGAAAGATGTGTTTACTGGAAGAACGTAAGAATTTTCTAATAGAAAACTGTAATCAAAGCACCACTAATAAGCACATAACATAAATCGTGGATCCCATGTAAAATTTAAACATTATCATCCTCCTCCTACTAAATTGACGTAAATGGTTGAAAAAGTTTTAGTTCTTGCAGGAAGATTGGTATTTGCAGATAAAAGGGTACAAAGACGACAACCAACTTAAAAAACAATTCACTTCAAATTGTCATTAGTTATCTAGAAAGCTCAGCACACTGAATAGGCTAATCTTTACTCAAACCGATAATTGAGGTTTAAACAGTCATCTATTTTGTTACTGCGACAACTTTTGTTTACTATAAATTATACCATTAACAAGTATTTCTGTTAAAGCATAATTTAAGCAAGAAACGAGTTAGAAGTGGACGGATAGATTGGATGATACGACGAGAGGGAGCGTACATGATACATCCCGGAATTGAGAAATGTGTTCAAAGAAATTGAGTTTGAGCTGACCACAATTAGGTTTGGAGCCCAAGAAGCTTGGTAGCCGAGCTACGTTCTAGGCCATCTTTAGCGGTAGCCGCGCTCGGGCTTAGGTGCGTTTGGCTCACAAATGCCCAATTGCCATTCCCAATTTTGGTGGTTTTTTTTTTTTTTTTTGGTCAGTCCATTTTGGTGGTTGATTAGTAATAGTCTAATAGAGTTGATAGAACATTTACATGTGTTTCATTAAAATCTAGGAGTGAGGACCTATAGTCTCTTCTGACTATCATAGTCTTGGATTAAATCTATAGTTGGATGGTGAAATAAGTATTTTGAACCTTGAATTGTAATATTTTCAAATACTCAAATACAAACCAATATCATCATTAAAGGAAACATTAACTGATAGAATCTCTTTCCCTTGTATTTTGCTGGGTAAGAATTTTGTTTATTGGCATGGTCCTAAAAGCAAAGATAGTTGTTGGCGAGCCAGAGCTCATTAGAGAATTTACACCGATTGGCAAGGATTGGCAAGGCAAGGGAGGAAGTTCTTGAAGCATTGGTGAAAAAACTCCAAATGCAGAAGGCATTGCAAGACTAAAACAGATGGCCATGATTATAAATGAGTCCTACTGTGATTTTCACTGAAAGAAGAGCTAACAAAGAGACTGAAGTTGGGTTGTGGCTCATTCTTCCAGCCAATACAGACATCCTAATTCCAATTTTGGCAATTCATCATGACCCCCAAATATGGGGTGCAGATTCACATCTTTTCAAACCAGAAAGATTTCAAGGAGGGATTGCTGGATCCACCAATACCAACATAGCAGCATTTTTGCCATTTGATCGGGGAGCTCGAGCTTGTCTTGGCTTGAACTTTACCTATATATACTCATTCCCCGGTTCATATCCTTTCCCTCACTCCACAAACCGGGATTCAAGTAATCCTGCGTTCCCTCTGATGTTCTACAATTCAATTCCAGATTGTTGGTCGGCAAAATTTTACAATAGTATAAGTAACTTTATGTGCGTGTCTCGGGAGTCGTAGTGCAATTTACCTGAATGATATTGCTCAAATAGAACACAATTAAAAGGAACTTACTGAATTATTCATATGTACATGCAATATTCTCCAGGCAAAGAACCATTTGCATGTATAACTATGCCAAAAGTGCCAGACAAAAGAGTTGATACAACAAACGGGTAAATCCAGTATTTTCTTATGGGAAAGTTGTCTTTGTCGAAGAAATTAATGATGGCTAGGTCGGATTTCTAACACGAGAAATCTATGTTCATATGTCCAGCTAATAACGCCCAATTCCTGGCTTATATTTCCAAGAATTTGACAATGTTGGAGCCCTATGGATGGTTGGATATACAATCTGTATAGACGACAATGGAAGAAGTTAACAGAGTTGCACAGTATTGATGCACACACAAACTAAAATATATTCTATGCACTAACGTTCATGCTGTCGGCATTGAAAAAATCGTAGAGAGCTGTTATCACCATTTCCAACTAAGCAGGCAGTGCCTGCAAGTTTAACCCCATATAGCAGGCAATTAGTGCCTATAATTATGCCCCCTAATATAGTTGTGTCCCAAGATTCCAATGCGGCTGAGGCACTACAATAAATATCACCCGAGAAGCATAGTTTAGTTTGCAAATTACTACATCATAGTGTGCAAAAGTCTCTGACTTTGTTGGGAACCATGGGAATCATATTCTCCTGTTTTCTGTGCTTTTTCTTACTAGTTCTTTTTAGAATTTTCTACAAGATTTGCTGGGCTCCAATTCATATGCAATATGTCATGAGGGCGCAGGGAATCAAAGGTCCTCCTTACAAGTTTTTATATGGGAACACAAAAGAAATCCTTAGCATGAAAAGCAAATCCATGAGCTGCCCCATGGTCGATATTTCACATGACATATTTCCCAGAATCC